TACATCCAAATTGACACATGCAGTTAGTGCAATTAGTAGATACATAGCAAATCCTGATAAGGAAAATTTGAAAGTGGATATTCAAATACTTGCGTGGCTTTTACTAATGCGTGTTTGCATTTTGGGAAAAGTAGAGATGAAGTCATTGGGTATGTTAATTCATATTATGTAGAAGATTTTGATAAAAGAAAATCACTTACAGGGTATGTGTGTTACCATTAAGGGTTGTGCTATAAGTTGGAAGGTTACATTATAGAATACAGTAGCATTATATGCTACTGAGGCAAAGTACATGAATGTTACAGAGGCTTGTAAAGAAGCTATGTGGTTGAAGAGATTGTTTGGTGAAATTAATGAAGGCTTGCAGATGTTTACAGTATATTGTGATAGTCAAAGTGCTATTTTTTTAACAAATGATCATATGTTATACGAGAACACAAAGCATATTGATGTGAGATATCATTTTGTGTTTTAGGTGATTGCTTGTGGTAATATTGTAGTGAGCAATGTTGATACCAAGGAGAATCCTACTGATATATTGGCAAAGGCACTCTTTGTTGCCAAGTTTGAGCATTACTTGAGCTTGGTTGGTATTTGTTGTTGAATTAACCCTTAGAGGCTTGTAGAAGAAGTGAAGAATTGATTATTGAAGAGTGAAGAGTAATTTTTTGCAATGAAATTTGTGTCAAAGTAGAGATTTGTTAATGTGTAATCCAAATTCTATTGGGTTTGGAATTGTTGTTGGAAAAGGACTTTGAATAAGTCAAAAGATTAAATAAAGACTTTTGGGGCAGAGATCGGGCGCCTAAGCACCATTCGGAAGCCTTGGAAGAAGTTTTGACCTGAGACAAAAGCAGTGATGTTTTTCGCCCACATACTACTTTCGCATTTTCTGATGAACTTCTTGATTCCTATTTCATCTAAAATACAAGAATTGAGGTCTTATATATATATTTGACAACTTGTATCCTCTTAATAACATTAGGAACACATTAACTTTGTTTGAGAGTGCATCAAATCTTATTACAACAATCATTGATCTTAATTTTGATCTAGTGAATTCTCCTTTTCTACCCGTGAAGTTGAAATTCCCCATAAAATTTTGGTGTTCTTGTTTGCGATTGATTTATTTCATCTCTCAATTATCTTGCTTCATTCATAATAGCTATGTTAACCATTTTATAGAAAAAAGTGTCAACCTGTTAAATGGACGTTTAATGTTCATTTACATTTTATTTTCAATGCGCTACGTATTGTGTAAGTCGAGTTCATATTTTTTCTTAAACCTAGACACATGCATGTCATGACTTGAAGTAAGTAGATCTTTTTCTTAGTTTTGATACCATATTCATCTTCTCATCTAATTTGAGACTGAATTTACAAATTTTAGATTCAAATCCAACCAAAAGATATGCGTTTTAATCCAAATACTTACTATTTTTTACTAATTTGATTACATATCAAATATTATTGATTTTTGTGTTGTATTCAAAATAAAATAAGAATAAATAAATTAAATAGTTTCAGACGATTTTGATACAGTAATTAGAAAGGCAAGTGGAATTGTGACCAAAATTTGTGTTCATGAGACTTTTCAAAACCAAGGAAAAACGTTTAGTTGCCAAAATCGTATGTCTCTATAAACTTCAAATGAAATGAATATCATAGAACCCAATTGAAATGTAATCATTAATCTCGTTTTAGAACAATGCATTGGAATTTTATCATCGACCTCTTTTCATACCGCTGTTTGATTTAGTCAAACAAAAATTATTAGTCTCATAAGTCTACATTGAAAATTCCATAATTTGTTTGACAAAATCCATATTTTTTTTCCTCATTTGACCAAATTAAGTGCCTTTGTCATAATCAAGAAATTCTATGGATTAAAAACTAGTCCGTCAAAGAATTTTATTTTTTTCATACTTTTCATCTATATTATTGTGTTATGCATTTATAGATAATTACTGCTATATATTTCGAAAATGTTTTAATTCTTTGTTGATTAGTTAGGCATTCCGAAAAATAAAAAGAATTAAAAAAATTTCGATTGATGGACTCATCTTCAATGCTGTTTAGGCTCCCCTATTTAGTCGGTTGTCTGTCACCTTTCTTTCCCGTGCTCGAGATGGAGAATCAAATAAAGAATCTCGTCCATTTTATTTATTTTATTTAATAAATAAATAGTAGATTCCTATGATCTCCTAGATTAAATTTTTGGACTGTGTCAAAAATGTTATTTAAATAATATGTTGTAATACTTCAAAGTTCTAAATATGGTAGTTTAATAGGTACCAGGACCTTGACATTCAAGGGCCTGAATTCAACTTTATACAGGACTTTTTGATGCACTTCATGAATTTTCCTACATAAATAGTGAAAATTACATCCATCACCCCCATTTTTTATTTTTACTTTTTGAAATTTCAAAGTTACTCCCAATTCCATTTTATTCTTTAAGTGCTACTTTTAATTCCCCACACGTACAAATACACACAATAATGGATCAAACAAACCCTAAACCTAAAAACACCATCACCATCACCATCCACTGCCCCCACCAACCACCATCACTGCTACACGAACCACTAAACCATAACCCTTTCATTATATCTTTTATATATGACTTAAATTATTTCGAATACTATAATGCCATGGTGGTCAAAATAAATAAGTTGGGCCTCCCTAAATAGTAAATTGAGAAGGCAATTCTAAGGGGGCAGTTGGGAGTCTTGGTAAAAAAAAAAAAATAAAAAAAAAATACCAAATTATGAATAATTTAAGAAGTGATAAGTTTCAACAGACGACTTGAATATTGAAGGCCTTAGCACAATTTAGGCTTATTGGAAATTAATTTCAAACTTGTATCAGTCATTCTTAATCTACATCATTACTTCTACATTATCATCTAACTACTAAAGTTGAAATTCTTTTTCTAATAAATGATCGAACTTATTAAAAGGAAAAAGTTGCTCGAAAAGCACGTGTCAATATGTAATAATGACATCAGACTTTCAAAGTAATTTGAAACTTAGGAACTTGTGTGATTTACTCACACACGTGTATAAATCAGAAATAGAAAAGTCTTAATAATAAAAAAAAAAAGGTATCCAGTATTGATCCAAGGAATATTGCAGGTCTTCAAATAAAAAGTAAGATAACATTCAGAAAGATTTTAAAGTTTGTTTAGATTGCATTAGGTGGTAATTAAGATTTGGCTAAGTTATACATTTCATCCTCAACTTTTATCCTTTGTTACACTTTCGCCCGAACACTTTTTTTCTTAACAATTTGAACCTCAACTTTTTCATTAATTAACATTATTTGTCCTCACTCACGGATTCCATTAAAAAATTAAGTAGTCATGTCTACTAAAGAAAGAGATATTAATTATTTTGATTAAGTTTTTTCTAAGTGGGCCATTATGTTTCCAGGATCTCAGTGGTTATGAAATTTTGGGTCGATTAAGACGTGGATATGATGAAGCTGACTTTTCTTTGGGCCTATTTTAGCCGTTCCTTGCTCTTGTAATTTTATTTGGGCCGTTCCTTTGATCTTACAACACGAAAAAAATGCGTTTGTAAATTATTTTTTCGACGAGAAGCATTAAGATGTGAAGTAGAGAACAAGAACCGTTAAGATGTTGAGTCGAGTGTCGAACCTGAACAGCACAAGGGAGCCACCCAACTCATGTGAACCATTAATTTTCTTGATAAAATTAATATCAAATATCTGATAATTCGACTGATAGTATAGCCCAAAAATATTACAAAAACGTAATAATTAGACATCTGTTAAAGGCAATTCGGGAAGTTGCGAGTCCAAATTGTGTTTCCTAACACAAACTCATATTTTGTCGATTTGCACGACATGCCTAACCCACTTTACATGGAGAGCCTGTTTGACAACCATTATTGTTTAAAAAAGGTGTTTTAAATGATTTTTGGGAAAATGTACGGTTAAAAGCATGGGAAAGCTTTCGATATACGTGTAGAATATTTTATTATATGAATGTGTGATTAAAAATAATCAAGTACAATCCATAAATTAAATTAATGATTGTCAAACAGGCACTTAAGAAACTATGAGGACTCCTTTTCAACTTTTTGGTTTTGAGAGGAGCCTAAACACATTAAACATTACCCCATCAGGGGTGGGGGTAGGTGGGCCAGTGCTTAATCAAATGGCACAAAAGAATGCACGATAGAATATTCTAACATCTTGGTATAAACCCAACCCTATTATTCCAATATTCGCACAATAATGGCTACGTTGAGATATTTTACTTTTATTCAAGTAAAATATAATTACAATATCATAAAACGTAATGCTATTTTGAGTCGTTCACTGTCGTAGTCGCCCTATAAAGTATATATATGACGGTTAGTGATTTGTTTAACTGCCACGTGTATATCACACAAAACGATTGGGATAATAAGTGATTGCAAAAAACTTTATTCTATCATAAAAGATTCTTCTTTGCGAAAAATAACACAAAAATGGATTAAAAAATATTATTACTCGTAGAAATCAATTTCAAAAAAATAAATTATCATTTCAAATACTCCGCATGTAGTCAGAAAAAGTAACAAAATAAAAACAGATTTATTCAATATTTTTAGTTTAACGTGGCAAATATATTAAAATAGTTGAAAACGAAGAATAATCAAAATGGGTGGATTGTAGAAATAAAAGTGTAGTAAAGTACAAGGAAGTCCAACTAATTTTATTTGGCAAGAGCCATTGTCGTTATAAACAATTTTATCTCACGCATTGTTGACAACCGCAGTATGGAGGCTCGATTTCTGAAATATGGAATTGGACTCCTTGTAACCGCAGTGTACAGACAACTCCTGTCCCCTGACCTGCTGGTATACATTCCGCGATTTAACTCTCTCACAAAGTTGTAGGGGCGGGGCAGTGGGGCCCTCAAGGTTGGGATTCAACCTCCTTTTTTTTTTTTTTTTTTTTTAAATTATTGTGCGGAGTCGAAGAAAAGATTGAAATGATTCTGAACAAGTTTTGACAAAAAACATAATAATGATCAATTCTTGGATCTTCTTCAAATCAAATCCCTGCAAGCAAAGCAAAGAACAACTCACATTTCACAAGCATTATTATGTTAAGCAGCAAAACTTAGCAGAATCATCTGCTTGCTGTTAAATAGTTGTCAATAACCAATCTACAGACGAAATACAACTCTAAAGCAATTTACTTTCGTTTCAAAGTCGAAAGAAAAGTGCGGGAATTTTGAAGAAGGAACTACCCACAAACATCAAAATACAGAGATTTCTTTGGATACATATCTGTATGGTGGTAAGTAATAAATAGATCCCATCTTGAAATTGGTAGTTTATATAACATTGATTAGAACGCTTTTCTGGATTTTTTTTTATTTTTTTGTTTCTTTGTAGAAATGGTGTTCAGGAAAGTAGTAGGTTTGATGATGGGGTGTTTGGGATTGTCAAAGCAGCCTACCAGAGCTCTCCCTTTTGCTGAAATTAGTGGTTCTCTGCAAATTGATCAAATAGTTAATAATTCCCCAAGAATCAGACTCAATGATGGAAGATTTTTGGCTTACAGGGAGAGAGGAGTCCCCAAGAACAAGTCCAGTTACAGAGTCATTGTTGTTCATGGCTTTGGCAGCTCCAAAGAAATGAACTTTATGGCACCCAAAGTATAAAATCTCTCTCTCTCTCTCTCTCTCTCTCTCTTAATTTGTTTTAATCTGAAGTATTTGGAGTTTATATTGCATCTTTATTGGTCTGATGCTAAATTTGACAATTTGACCCATTCTTGTGATAGAAAATGTGTTGGAATCTGCAATCAACTTGACTTTAAGAATGGAGTATGAAGATTACATGTATTTGTGAAACAAGAACTGATAATAAAATCCCAAATGTATTTTTGTGGCACTCTCTTTGCGACATATTTCTTGGGAGGATTGAATAGTATTAAACAGAATTACGGATGAAAAAGAGGTGAAAATCTTGTAAAATGTCTTGTACTTAGCACAAGACATGCACTTAGTGTCATTGACTTGATAAATATCTTTCTAAATCTTCCATTGAGCTTTTCTTGAGTTAATCATTACGTAAAATTTGTTCTTTTACTGTCCAAACAATTTGGAGGTTTCCATGATCTGTGATGTATGCTAGATTGTAACTGATCTTTCCAATTCTTGCTGCACTTTTTTTACTATAGCAAAGTATTTTAGTTCAATAAGAAGAATCCTTTATTACATTCTAGTTAAATGTGAGGCAGAATTGCTGTAAGCTTAAATAATATGTACAAGATGTCGTATCAGATGACCTAATATCGTTTACGCGATCAGGAACTTTTGGATGAGTTGAGTATATATCTATTGCTATTCGATCGAGCTGGATATGGTGAAAGTGATCCAAATCCAAAAAGATCGTTAAAAAGTGAGGCATCTGACATAGAGGAACTAGCCGATAAGCTACAATTAGGATCCAAATTTTATGTAGTTGGAGTCTCCCTTGGATGCTATCCCACCTGGAGTTGCCTCAAGCGTATACCAAACAGGTCCATTAGAGATTTTCACCTCTCAAGTTTCGATCAGGCTTAGAAAAATGCCGATTTTATCTTTGCAATTATGTCTGCACAGGCTAGCGGGTATTTCGCTTGTGGTTCCGTATATAAATTACAAATGGCCATCTCTTCCTGCTGATTTGACTAAGGATGATTATCGAAGAGGCCTTTCCCGGTGGATGTATAGGGTTGCTTGCTACACTCCAGGATTATTACACTGGTGGCTGACTCAGAAGTTGTTTCCATCATCTACTGTCCTCGACAGAAACCCTGCGTTTTTTAGTAACAAAGACTTAGAGGTGTTGAAGAACTCGCCCGGCTACCAATTGCTCTGTCAGGTAATAATTCATACTTTATCCACGCTCGACTAAGGTGGAAAGCCAAATATGTTTCATCGATATTTTTAACAAGTTGTAGCAGGACTAAAGATCTTATATTGTGACGTGAACTTTATTTTGTCTTAAAGAACAAGCTGAGGGAGCGAAGCGTGTTTGACTCACTATGCCGTGACTTTATGGTTGCTTTCGGAAAGTGGGACTTCGATCCCATGGATTTACGCAATCCATACCCTCAAAAGGAAAGCTTAGTTCATATATGGCAAGGTTACGAGGACAAGGTCGTACCATTTCAATTACAAAGATATGTGTGGAATAAACTACCTTGGATTAGATATCATGAAGTTCCTGATGGAGGTCATTTGCTAATATATGATACTGCAGTATGCGAAGCCATCTTGAGGTCTCTTTTACTTGGAGAAGATTCTCCTTTGTACAGACCTCAATAGGACGATCTGTCGACTGTCGACCTTCTTTCATTCTTGCCATCCTTCAAATAACTTGTAAAGTAGTTTCATTACTATTCATACAAAGAGTGACGTTTTATTTGTTTCAAGAAGCTATCATTTGTAAATGAAATTCCAATTATTCAAAAATTAATAGAATTCTGCAGAAATGAAAATCACTGCTGCAGAGACTCTTGGACATGTTTGATTCTTGTTATTTTTGTGAAATACTCCAATGCGAAATCTTCTCCATTAACCAGAAAAGTATACCAAGTTCAAATAATAACTTAAATTTGAGAACTGTTCATTGTGGAGTTACTTATAAATAGTTTAAATTATAAATTGAAGAAAATTAGTAGTAGATAAGTGGATAGTACTTAGGGTTGCCCAAGCCGAGTACCCAAGCTTTCTGCTCGGGCCTTACCGAGGCAAGCCGTCTCGATTTTATTTTTTTTTTTCTCTTCATATGCTGCCTTTTTTTTTTTTTTTTTCCTTTTTACGAGAGCCGGCCAGCGAGGCACACGATCGACTGAGCCCGAGCCTTCACCGAGCCTCGAGTCGGGCAAGCTCGGACTTTTTCCAGGCCGAGCAGGCAGTCCGAATCGATGAGCCAATTTACCATCCTTTATGGTACTTGTGGTAATTTGACTGTTTCTAACAATTTATAATGAGTTGCCAAAATGAATGACAATGGCATCATCATCTCATCTAAAATCTTAAACAATCGAATGATACATTTATTCATACAAAATTGGCGTGCAACGATACTTGTATAATTACAAGAATGTGCAGTAAAAAGTTCGAGGACATAAAATGCTATACTAAACGACATTGAGAACAACCTTAAGTACAATTAAAATATGGTGTTTATAAAGAGGAAACACAATAAAATTCCAAAGGAACAGATTGCAAGAAAATGTATGGGGTGTCCAACCACAGGGATCACCCCACTAGGAATGCAGATTGAAGGCCCCAGCTCGAAGGCGGCCTCTAATGAAAAGTTCAAAGGGAAACTCATTGAGCAACAAATCGCTGCAATCAGAAAAGATAAAAAGAGGGGGAAATCCGTACATATTTTTTCAAAAAACTTGCAACGGGATTCGACACTTCATGTTCTAAATTTACCGAAGTTGTAATGTTTGATTCATTTTGAATCTCTTGCTTTTTGGGTTATTAGATCTTTTGTAATGCTTTTGTATGCTCGGGATATGCAATTTTTGATTCTCGATCAAAAAATTTTGATGTTAACATAATTATCTTTCGCATATTATCAGTTTTGGATCTATTCTTGTCTAATTATACCTTTAGATACCTTATATTGGTCCGACTGGGCAATTAGATTTTGTTTTATTCGTCCATAGCCACTTATTTTTTATTTTTTTTATAATCATAGGTATCCGGGTCAGTTTACACTCATCTCAACTAATTTTATGAGATCTTGAAGTTTACAACAGAATTCTCACCTTAATGGTCTAATGAAACTCAAATTGATGATCATTGAGGAGCAAAATCAAAATCTGATTACAGAGCTATCCTTCAGAATTGGTCCATAACCACTTGTTATGTTCAAAATAATCTAACTATTATGGTCAAGATTGAATATTTTTAGTCTGAGTATGTCCTCATCAGAAATTTATGAGTTTCGAAAATCAAGAAAGCGGATAGCTTCAGTTTCAAAAATTTTGTGCTTTAAAAAGTGAAATAGTCATTGACCCAACAACTACCACATACGGACAAAGACCCCACCAAACCTCTTCTTCATTATTTATTTTCTACTTGTAGCCTGCCAACTAAATTATCTTAATATTTTGATAGATCATAAAAATTAGAAAAAATTAAAATAATAATAATAATAAGTAGAAGCATTGTCTATCGAGCCATGTTTGACCAGTATTTTTTTCCAAATCTTTAACTCCCAATCTTTTCGACGAGTTAAATTACTATTTTACCTTGCATTGATTGCAGGTCAAGTCATATGTCTATCTCGCCTAAGCGTGTATGCTCGTTCTATTTCTAATATGAATAAATACTTTTTTTTTTTTTATAACCCAGGTGTCCCAGCTTCGTCGGACTAAATCCTGGACCTCTAGCCCCCGGCCCCTCAGTGACTAGTGGAGGTAAATCACGGTATATGCCCAAGTTGACCAGGGTCCGTGCATCCTTTATACTCCTGACCCCAAGGAAGCATTCCTCCATGATTATTACATCACCAAACTGCTCCAACCAAGAATGGTTATTACATCACTTAGCTGCTCCAACCAAGAATCGAACTCCCCACGCTGGGGTTGCGAGCCCCGCAATGCCCGTCCTTTGCCAACTTGAATGTGCCCCGGGGGGCTAATATGAATAAATACTCCACCCTCCTTGTGGTGGTTGGTTCAAGAAAAATCTCAAATTCAAAGTTTCTCTTCGTTTTTTTCCCATAATCTAGTGAATATGATTTAACACTAAGAATCTGTTTGATTGCAAAGGTGAAAAGGACAAATCAATTGCATGTAAGTTGGAAAAGAACAAATCACCAAAATCATAAAAAAGTATTTTCCATGGAATTGGTCAAAAACATGCTTTAAGGGTCCGTTTGATTTTAAAAATGAAATTTGAGTAGAAAAAACGAATTTCAGGAAATTCAATTATTTAGAATTTGATTTATTGAGAATTGTCAATTAAATATATTTGATTGGTATAATTTTCATCCTGAAAAATGTTGAAATTTTGAATATTTTGGTTTTCGCTTGACTACATTTTTCATGAAAACTGTCAGGATAGATTTTTCTACAATGGTGGATAGAATTTGTTTTCATTGTCAAAAAAAATAAAATTGAAAAATCCAATTCTCACCAAAACCAAAGGAATTGGAATTCCTTCGAAACCTGGAAAATGCCATCACGTGAGGGAAAGGAGGAAAATTAATTCCATGGAAAAATGTTGGTTATCAAACAACACAAATTGGGTGAAAAAAATTTCCCCCCAAGTATTTGTACCTTGGAATTCGAATTTCATTTCCACTTTCGTATTAAGTATCCAAAGTAGAAAACAAATTTCTCGGATATGATATTTTTTATGGAATTCATTCCAATCAAACGGATTCTAAATGATTTATATTTACAAGATAACATTTTGTTACAAAACTACTAAAATCTACATCAAAATTATCCAAGAAAAAACTCTCTCCTCTAGAGTACTCTGGACAGCCTCAATGCTCAAGGCAGCTAGAAGTCATTGACATAATCAACCATCAAGTATTCGGACGATAATGATTAGAAGTTTGAAAACTGGTTCCGAGAAGACAATACCATTTGCAAATCCGTACTTGTTTGGCAAGAATTATCACCAGCAATAAAGTTCCTAAAAAACATTGAATGATGTTGTTTATTATTGGAAATCTCTCAAAAGCGAGTGTGTGCGTGCGTGCGTGCGTAAAGCAGATAAAAACAAATCTTACTCTCTTGGACGAGATGCCCACAAAGAACTTAGAGCCCGTAGTCGGCCATAGTACTCGCTGATAACCAGGAAACATCGTGCTGTTTGCCGGACTGTCAAAATGCGTCGAAGTTGATGAAGTGTTTGTTGTCTTAAATTATCGGCCTATAATTTAAAAGTTGCATGAATAAAAGAGTCCAAAATGCTTAATAAAACATCAAGAATCAATATTGTTGACTTACCTGACGCACGAAACCTTCAAGACTGGTCAGCTTGCCCAATGCAACAGCCATTTGATTCATGCTATCATTAACAGAACCATTGGCAATGGTACTGATTAAAGATTGTTGCAGTTGTTCCAATCCCTGGGAAAGAGCCTCTTCTGCCTGCTGTGAAGATTGTTGGAGGCTGTAAATCCCGATAGCCTGGTGCTCGGTTAACGTGTCTAAATGTGCTACTAACATCTAATCAATGAGATGAGGATCATATAAGAAAAAGAGTCATGCTACTTGTACAATCATTTCTTACAATATTGGTTGACAATTATATTTGTCAACATCTTCATCCATTTCAAAAATTGTTTTTAAAATTATGGATCAGATTTTGACAACATCAACGTTGTTATCCATTATTGTCGATAACAATTGTACACGTAGATTAATTCTAAGTAAAACGATACTTCGACTGTTTATTTACAGGTACCAGATGGTGCCAGAACCGTCCATCCATTTAATTGACCTTAAGTTTCTTGTTTAACTTCGATTTATTCATTTATTTTTGTGAAAAATAGCTTTCGATGAACTAGACAACACGAAACAAAAAAGCAGATAACTATTCTTGCACTTAATTTGAACCCAAACCTTAATTAGGTCAGAGGGACGAAACCCGCCCATCCACAGAAAACAACGTTCAGCAGGCGTAGTCCACATCCCGGTGTAGAGGTGAATGACATCAGATACAACAGCAACTTCTTTAAGACAAAATAGTTCATCATAATGTGCAATGTATTTATCTGCAATAACCCGAAGATCACCATCTGATAAATGTGCTTGCAATGCGGTTCGAAGTTCAGACATATGCCTATGTTCATCATCTAACCATCTTGCATACTCCATGTCAAATAATGCAGCACCTACAACATAAAAAAATAAATAAAAAAAAAAATATTGTTGGATTACTACTGAAGAATTAGGGGCCTCATTAAACATGGAGATAAGGGAAAGCTAATGTTCCAACCAATCTGAAAGTACAGGTGTTAATTGGATTTTAAATTTGATGTTACTGAATTTGACTAAAAGATATATTTTCTTAAGATTCAGATTAAGGGAGCAGCCTATTGTGAAAACTGTGGATTATCTAGAAAAAGTCTAGATAACTATTCTAAGAATTAAATGTTTTGACATTTTGATTTTCTTCTTCAACTAGATCAAAATTGTAATCAATTTGAAAACAGCTTAATGATTAAAAATTATTTAAGCATTTATTTGACCATTGTTTGGCATTACTTTTGTAAATTCAAAAGCTACTTTTTTGACTTTAAGAAATTGTTTTTTAACACAATTGAATAATTTTTTGGAAGTATTTTTGTGATTAGAAAAGCTTTTAAGATTTCTTCTGAAACCCTTCTACAAGAAGAAGTAGAAGCCCTGACAAGCGAGCCCCTAATAATCTGGTCAGGTAACACTTCAGTAAACAAGTAAATGAACACGTTTATTCAATTACATACATATAAAGTTTCAACTCTTACCAGAACTGATGTTCCCACCAGCAGCTCCTCCTCCTATAATAAATCCCTGTTGAAGCATAGAAAATTAAGAAAGTGAACCATTAATGCACACGACTTTAAATCCATTTTATAATTTTCAAGCTTCTTAATTGTTTCTTTAATGAAAAATATTATTAACCTGTGACCTTGCCCTCTGAAGGTCCTGCTCCAGCTGAGCCAGCCTGATCCTACTTGATTCTAGCTGCTGTACATATGCCTGCACAACGGCATGTCGCCGAAAGAGAGACGACACATTTATTTATTTAAAGTCGCTATTCGTGTTTTCATAAAGGCAACACAAGTAACATGTATAATTTAAATTGCAAGAGAAACTAATTGGCATCCCACCTTCTTTCTAAGCCTGCTCTTTTTTGCTGCTTCCCTATTTTGAGCTAAACGTCTTACCGTCTGTAATCAGTGAACAATTCATCAGATTCAAGGGGGAAAATCTGTATTTTTAAGCAATTTTCATTTGCAATTTTAACAAAAAGAAAAATTACGAAATGTGTATGTATAGGCTTGCATGCATGCATGAAAATAATATGAATGTACCATCACCTTAGCATCTAATACTTTATCTGAAGTAGAACCAGCTCCCTTTCTCTGCATAATTCGAGAAGAAAATATTAAATTGTAGCTCACCCAGAAATAAATGCTCAATAAATATATGAGTCAATGAGAATAAATTATAAACTAATTTTATGTTTTTCGCATTCTCGATCCTTTTACTTTTTTCTTTGGATTTGGAAGAAATGAAGGTAACGTGTAAGCAATAGCTGAATCATTGAAAGATTTCTTGTTTTTTTTATAAATAATACAGTCAAATTTGTAATTATAAGCAATTATGAGGCTTTTTCATAGCTTTGATAAGATATGTAAACTGTTCTTTAAAATAATGATGTAATGATTTGACTACTCGATGTGTAAATTCATCAAGCTCGGGCATTCTTATAGAATTGGAAATCAATCCCATAAAAAAAATGAAAGTGGATAATCTACAGTTTTGGTATTGCAAAAAGGTATCATCATTAACATGGACTTAAACTCGGAGTTTTATAGATAAAGACATCAAAATAAAAAGGGCTTCATCTACAGTAAAGATTCTGCTTTATTACACAGACTTTTCACATAGTTTCTGGCTGTTATTGGGATTTGTATAAATAAATATATATATATATATATATACACACACACAGATACACACCTTTGGTGGGGCTAGTTTGGCATCTAGTTGAAACTGTGTAACTCCTGTCGCAGGTTTGTCACTTGAACTGGCCATCTCCATTTGTGGCTGGATTTCTGGTGGAAGCGGTGGCTGAAGGCGATGGCCGGTGGCGGTACTGTTGTCTCCTATACTTGCAAGTGAAATTAGTGCTGATTCTGAACCGGCGCTATCTTCTCCAGACTTTAAGCTTTCCTTTATTAATGATACAAACCACCCAAGAAAATGAGTCAAAATTTGATTTCATCATTATCACCGAAAAAATTTTAAAAACTAACATTTTTTTCTAGAAAAAATCAAGAAACCTCCAAAAGGACCCAGAAATAAGCGTCATCACTTGAAGAAGAGAAGTTAAAGGGAAAATTTTCTTCAACAGATAAGATAGTTAAAAGACTTTAAACAAGCCGTATAGATACAAAATATTACTCTTGGGTTGTGATGGAATTTCATAGGCGAAGGAGGGAACATTTCAATAGTTGCTGCACGCTGCCTGACTGTGTATAAAGCTGCAAAAAAAGAAAAAACAAAGAAGCAAAATCTTTGAGGATCGCAAGGGATTAAATACAGACTAGCAAAAGGGTGAAACCTAATCTCCTTTTTGTTGTTCTCTTTTTCCCTCAGCAGTTATGGAGTCAGTAAAATCATGCAAAAGGGTAAGTTTTCCTTGTTTGAAACTTCACGTTATTCAAATCTCCAGCCCAAAAATGATTCCTGTGTTAGAAATGGTAAGCCTCGTTTCCGTGGCTCTGTAGACGTATTCAAACCCTTCCCTCC